CATGCCAGATTCGGCCCAAACACTGCATGTTTACCTGACCACCAAAATTTCAAGTAAATTCGCCAGAGCACCAAAATGAACTCCCCATAATGACTTGTGGTGAACTGTGGTCAGGTGCAATAGTGTTGCCAATAATGTGTTGTTAACCAGTGCCTCCTTAATCAGAAAACATGTATGGTTTTGTCACCATTTCAAAGGGCAACCAGAATGGTGAGCTGTGATGAGGTAGTGATCAGCAACAAAATCCTCGTATTGTTCCTGCTGGAGTATACACTGCAAGGTATAATAGACCAGGCACTGGAGGCACAGCAGCAGGAGGAAGAAGAGGACTTCCTGGTGTCTCAGGGCCCACTTTATGCTTTATTTTGACTCTGTGAGGCAGCACCAGGCACAGGAGGAGCACGAGGAGAAGGAGGGCTGCTGTGCTGGCGTTGAGGACGAAGACATGGGACAGGCTTTCAGGGGTATGTTTCATCCCTTCTAAAGCCCAGGAGTTGTACATGGATTGGGGGAGATATGTTGTCACTCAGCGTTGTCCTTGGAGACCTCAAGGACTCTGGGAACTTGTAGCTGATGAGCTTATTCAAGCTGCAGTTCCTGCAAAAGGACCCCAAGATTCAGGCCATCATGGAGAAGGACCATTACTGGTTGGCCACCCTTTTGGATCCACATGTTAATAGAAAAATGCCAGAGTTCATCCTGCCATCACAGAGGGATAAAAAAAGGAAATATCTGGAGGACATGCTGCAGAGGAACCTTCATTTTCTTTTTAAAGACTGGCTGTATCCCCTTTCATGGCTAACGTGGCTTGGATCCTCCTGTCGGTAAAAGAAGGAAAGTGTTGGGGGTGGCTTCCTAAGCAAGGCTTTCAAGTCCTTTAGTACACAGATCCCAGGGTTGTCTGCTGGCAGCAGTTATAAGCAGTGCCTGAACAATATGATCTCTGATTATATGGAGTGTAGGGTGGATGTTGACACCTTCATAATAAATGACAATTGAGTAACAAGGTTAGACCATGGGCTAGTATGTTATCCTGTTATTTGCTAGAATGCCGTTTCAGAAGGAGATAGCAGGCAGAATGGTCCCTTTTGCATGCCCCTGATCCAGTACTGTGTCCTGCAGTGGTGCAGGGTTTATAATTTTGTACTAGCATTCTTTTCAAGGCTAATTTTCAAGCTATTGTTAAAAAAATGGCATGGGTAGCTGGGCAATGCCATGAGGGGACATTGCAAAAATATATATAATTCAGCAGGGAGAAGTTTTTTTGTGGCTTAAAACGGCAACATTGGAGAAACACATATCCTTTAAAAAAACATGCTTGGCGGATGCCTTAAAGTGTATATCCACTCTATATGATTGGTATGTATTCCTACTAAAGTAATGGGAAAAAAATTATCATAATTATTCATTATTATGAATTGCAAATATGAGGTAAATACTCTTAATATGTTTTTGATTTGACACATGCCTTCAAGCTGCTTTGGCCGGTCTGTGATGACATAGGGGTGGGAGGGGGTGGGCTTATGGGTTGTTCCGCATCTGTTTGTCTATTTAAGTTCACATTGATGTTTGCACTTTTGTCAATGTTAAGCCTGATGAAGGGACCCTACGTGGCCCCAAAAATGCTTGTCTTTATTTGACATGGTTCTTAATAAATTAACACATGGTGATCCTGAAAGGACTTTTGGTGTGCTGGTGACATTCCTCCAAATGATTCATGTAGCGAGAGGCGCAATCCGCAGTCACTACGAGCACCCTTCCCTGCTACTGCAACAAGACCTTCATACATTCTGAATTCAGGTTAAACATGCTTTCGACCCAAAGCTCTTCCCTACTCCTGGAAGAGTTGGATGCTAAAGAATTCTCAGCCAGTGCAGTGCTTGAAAACAGTGAAGACTGGCATCTCCAGCAGTGGGAAGGGTAAATGTTAACCCTTTTCTGTGGAAGGAAGCCTTCTTTCAATACATTTTTAACCAGCAACATAGTCATTTTAAATAGTATATTTGTTGTTGTTCTTTTTGTTATCAATATTATGATTATTATTATTATGAGTATTGTTATTATTCTTACACTACCTTGTAAGTCAAAGACTGGGAACAAATATGCAACCAGTGAAATCTAAGACATTTGAATTGAATAGCTTTTTTCAGAATAGTGAGTACGGATTAGGATGACAGCCTCTGAGCCTGCATTTTAAAATGTCAGCGTCCATATTACTATCCTCACAGGTTTCCTTTAAAGTACATTATATATTTATAGACACGTCGATGTTTGAGTTGAAATGCTTTGGCACAGACTGCCATAGTGGTGATCTAGTTCTCTCTGGATAAGAAATGCAAGTTTTTAGAGGATAAGGGCTGAATTTACAGCATAATATTTAATAGCAGATTTGCTAGATTTAGCAGTAAGTGAGGCTAATGAGCTTGTGAATAGACATGGCCTATTTTCTAACAAGCTGTTGGAGAAACAGAAAGCAGAGGGGGGAGAAGGTTGGGCACTCTTATAGCAAACTGTCTGTTTAAATAATCAACCTCAATGATCTGGGAAAAGCGTCCATACATTAGAATAAATTAAAAAAGAATCTGGTTTGTACTCATTGTGCACATATTTAAATTAGTATATTATTCTTTTTATAAGCATAACAATAATTTAGGTTTATAACTTGTTATATAAAATTGTTAGTAATGTAAAGGCCATTCACAGTTCCCTTATCTTGGGTAAGTATTGACAATAAAAGAGAATCTATCATAATGATGATCATAAAACATGCTGCAGGTATAAAATGCATGCACCCAAAGGTGTGCACACTGAACGGCCAAATGCCGGACCCACTAACAGGCAAAGCTTTAACATTTTCTGATACTGCCAAAGCTTGACCCCCTTGCTGCATCCTAAACATTCCTACCGGTCAGTGAGGCTGCCCCTCATATTGAAAGGTCAATAGGAATGTGTTACGTGGGGAGGTAGCAGCAAGCGGTGAAACTACCCAGAAGTGTTTATTAGCATTTGCAGCAGGTGTGCAGGCACATTTAGTTTTTGGGTTTTTTAAGACAGGGTCTCTTTAATGTGTTTTTTTTAATTTCAATAAATGTAAATAAATCAAGATCACATGGTCATTAGCTACTGAAAACAGTGTGGGTATTTAGTCTAGTTACTGCAAAGACTCCACTGTACTTAATCAGAGAATCTGGTGTAGTAAGCAAATATGAATGGTCCTATGTACATATGCAGTATACCCTACTTAGAATTAAGGTTTCAAAAATATTAACACACATTATGTCATTTGTATATCTAAAAAAAGTTATAACTCCCATGTGCCTGGCCCAGCCACATCTTAACCTCCTGCAGACCCTTCTCTCTGCAGGGGATCAGTAGTTACCATAATCCCACTAATAGCTGATTTTCTTTCTTTGGATAAAATGGGGAAGGATTGGCACCTCTGTCAATCTGTAAATGTTCTAATTTATCCAGATCATGGTATAGCTAGTAGTTAGCCACATTAAACTGGATTTGTTCTGTAATGTTATAGACATTTGGAAGCTTGTCAGGAAAATACACCAGCATTTATATCTATACAGGTAGTACAGACACTTTAATTCAATCACCATGGAAAGGCACATGTTGGCGTGACATCAAGCATCCCATTCCTGTTTCTTTCAAGCCCAGCAATACACGGAGACAGAAGCATGTACATCCAAAAGACCCATCACCCAAACACAAGCGAACTAACCTGGTATATGCAGTACATTGTAGTGAGAAATGCAAAGACCTGTACATTGGGGAGACAAAACAACCTCTCAGTTAATGCATGGTCCAAAATTAGAGGGCACATTCTACAGAGCAAGACTCAGTTTTCCAACACTTTATGGAAAAGGAACATTCTTTCGAGGACAATAAGGTGTACATCTTTTTAACAGAGGGCAACTGCTTCACAAGAGACTATCTACATCAAAGTGGAAAAACAATCCTTGAACAGGAACGGGTGCCTTTTAACACCATCTGTCTTTCTCATGTAATGCTATTTTAACATCTCTACCCTGGCATTTTAACAACAGTTCACACCATCAGCTATTAAATTAAATATTTAATAACTATAAATACTTGACACCAGGGATGGGATTATTTAACTAGCACAGGATGGTTCCATAACTCTCACACATCCCATCCTGTTCTTGGACAATCAACATTTGCCTTTCCATGGTGATTGGATTAAGGTGTTTGTGCTATCTGCGTGAGTTCCCCTAAAGAAAGTCAATGAACGCAATGCGTAGGATGAAGTTACAGATGATGACTTCACTGTATTATTTTTCCCTGTGAGTTTAAACTGTACTACATATTACATCCCAAAAAGAAACAACACCTTATCCATCTCCCCAAAGAGGGAAATAAGCAGGTATAGACCTTAGTTCAATTACTGGTTCCAACTGGAAGGTGAGAGACATATGGTGGAGGAATTTTAACCCTGTTCACGTGAAAGATTATCAAAGTTTATGTTTAGTGCACTGTGGAATTGAAAGGACAATATTGTACACATACTTTTTTTAACGTATTCTCTATATCACATAATGGTGCAAGAATTGTATAATGCTTAATGAATAATTGTTTGATTTAGAATATGATTGATTTTTTTATATTAGTGCTATACTATATTTGTTTGTTTATAATGGTTGTGTAAAATTTGTTATTATCCTTCTCTTTTTTCTTATATGTCTTTTGTATATGCTTACTTTGTTTCCCCTGTGATGTTTTACACCAATTGTTCTGTTAAGTATGATAATTTAGTATAGTTTAGTTAGTTTATAACTATTAAAACCTGATAAGAATGTATTGAAAAAAATGTTTATTATTTAATTTCTACATCAGTCTTTAATGTAAATTAATTTTAATAAAAGTTTATTTTCTAGTTGGAAAAAAAAGTTTGGCTATATATAAACACATTTAAAAATAGTTTGCTGACTTTTTTACATCATTCATTAATTTATTTTGTAAACTTCCCACAGAGAATACGCCAAGCCAGCCGACCTGCCATGGATTGGGGTCCATCAATGGAAGAAGACAGGACAGGCATGTATGTTAATACCCTTGCAGGCAGCCAATCCCCAAAACCATTAATGGTTCACATGCGAAAATATGGAGGAATCACAAGTTATGAAAATACAGCTATTGAGGTGGACAAAGAAATAGAGGAGGAGTCCATGATGTGATGTTAAAGAAGAAAGCAGAAGGAACTGTGAAGAATACATAGACCTCCTTTCCTCCGGGGGGCTTATACATGCTTCCCTGGCACAAGGCCCAGCTGTTCTCAATCTTGTGTCCAACCCTGCCCCTCTGAATGGAGGTTCTAGATTATGAAACGCTATCAGTTGATAGTTCTATGAGTGGAACTATGTACAGAACTGTCGTTGTTAATGTTTTGTTAAGGTAATGTCACTGAGACCCTGTCTTGTCTCTGTGCTTTGATAAATCCATACTTCCTTGTGTATTTTCCAAGGGTTTGTTTCTACAGTGGTTGATATAAAGATTATGCAAACCATAAATGGCTGCAGAATACATATTTAAGGGGCTTCACCCAAAAGTGAAAAAGGTAGTCAAAGATGCAGTTGTCTGAGATACCGTGCTTAGTTAAATGTAGACATCCCACCTGGGGGAACTCCTCTGATCTTTAAAGGACATTATTTGGTGAATGTCAAACTGGAATTACCCATCAACTTCCTGTATTTCTTGGTGACCTCAGCAGAAAGATATAAAATCATCATGTTTTTTGTTCCTCCTAAAGTAGGAACTCAAGACTGAAGAGTGGGAAAGGGATAGGGCCTCTTATAGATTTTTTTTTTATTGCTGTCTGCAATCCTGTTGAGAAGAGTCGTGTCGTATTCTGTGTGGTGCCAAGGCAGGAAGTACAGGGAAATCTGCTCAGTGGGGACATAACCAGCATTAAAAACCTGGTGAGGGTTCTGGCACTCACCTACCTTGCTTCTTAATGAGAAAATACTCCTTGCCTTAATTCCTGATTTTCTCCTTCCACCCTTATTATTATGAAAACCAAGAAATATATATAGATGCTTGATTATGCATATGTAAAGTTGATAAATAAATAGAAAATTAAGAGAAAAGAGTTTGAAACACTCAAAATGATGCAAATTGTCAACAGGCTCTGCAAGGATGGACATCCTGCCATACAATTCCTCATGAAACTAAGAAGACTGCAGGCAGTTCAGATAGTCACCAGCCATCCTTACCTGAATGATCAGCTTTAGATAAATTTGGCCTTCAACCATTATGGCTTTGGCTGTGTGTTTTGTCCGACTTAGGAGAACAGCAAGGTGTTTAGACATCTTATTAGTGGTTAAAGCCTGGATAGAAGCAGCAGGAAAAGATGGAATTAAAAGTCCAGTATATGATTTAAATAATCATTTAGCACAAACTGATCATAACCTACATTTTGTTCTGTTTTGGGTGAAGTTCTTCTGGGGTTGATTCAGTAATGAAGTAGATCAAGTGCATTTTTACTGAACTTATAGCTGCAGCTTTGGGAAAGAACACCCAATCATGTGCAAGGAAAATTGGAAAAGAGGATTGTTGCTTATGCATGATTGAATGATTGAAGTCAGCACTGCTTATTCACTAAGGTAAGTCAATATTCACTTTGCAAAGTGAGCATCTTCTACTCCTTTAGTAAATCAACCCAATTTATCACAACAAGGAAAATGACTCTTATACCTGGTTATTCTGTTTTTGTGTATGTTAAATCTATGGTTGTTAAAGCACCAGTCCATTCAGACTGTATAGATTAGGTTCATGTGAATGTATTATAATGGTTTGGGAGTTAAGGGCTTTTTTATTGAGACAATACATTATACAGTAAATATTTTGGGGTCTATTCACTAAGCTGCCGAGGGCAGCCGAGTGAATGACCAACTAAAGTGGTAGTACTTACTTTATTCATTTTCTGCCTGTTCCATCCATTAGTTCCTGTATTCAAGTTGCGTCTGTTGAGGAGTGAGTCTACGGATGCATTACTCTTGTGTAAATGAGCAAATGCAGCCTGCTTTTAGATGCATTCAACTTTTGCTTGACATCAGTTTCAGATGCTTCTACATTAATTTGCAGGTGCTTTGTCCTCCTTCTGACCTGCATTTAATCTTTAATCATTCTTCTTTGGCTTCAATATATTTTGCATTCCTTTTGACTTGTATGGGGTGAAATGCAGTTCTGATGTAAACAAAAATTCTAGTACACAGGTTCTTGGGGTGGCCATAAACTGGCTGATTGTCCCCTGAAAATTACAGGTGGGGAGGACGCTACATGATCAATATTGTGTTGCTGGAGCATCAGGCCCCACAAGCTGGTTTGTCAATCGGTGACAGTCAGCTACAAGGTATTAGACACTAATCACCAAAACGGGGCAATACATTTGAAATTAAATTGGTATTTAATATATGTATTCAAATACATGTTTTATTCTTTTCATTATTTTTCATCTCCCCCTGTTTCTATAAACCACTGCACATCACTGCTAATTACCCTCTTATGAGATTTTACAAGTTAAATTGTCAGTTCACCATAACCAGATATTACATTCTTGGGCGGGTGCCAGAGAGTTAATTCCTGGTTGCATTGTACTGTTACTAAATAAGTAATTCAGTTGTTCCTCCATATCCCATTTAACGTGCATCTGTTCAGTGAAAATATCTATTTTATTTTCTGGATAGTTAAACATTGAAGATATGAGGAAGAAACTGAGTTTCCAGTATTTCTTTCCATATCTAATTTAACAAGTAGAGCTTGCCATCCTACCTATCCATTAGTTATGGCTTTTCGGAGCGCATATTTTGGCTGGACAATATTGAACTAGATTGGTTAGTTCTGGACCTGATCCAATTGTTTATGTTCAGCAACAGCACCAAGACATTTGCATTATTTATGTTTATTGTGGCTGTCTACTAAAACTCTTAAAGCTGAACTTGGGTTTAAGTGAATATTGTCCATATACAGTAGGCATGTGTATTCGTACTTGGTGTACTTTGTGTATTTCTTCTAAATCTGTGCACTAATCCAGTGTGAAACTTTGCCTCTGTGCAGAAGCTTTCTATAATAAAAGCCAGTCACCGCTGGTCTCTCTCGTTGTGCAAGGTGTTCAGTCTTGTAGCTACCGCCCCCTGTACTTTTCTGCTGGCAGCCTGGTGGGCCTGCTGGGTCCTTTTCATAGCTCTGTTCACAAAGTGGATTTATATTTTTTGTGGCTATTGAAGAATATATTTCAATGAAAGTTTCTGTTTCTGAAGTTCAGTTTTAAGACTCTATTAAAACAGACCCGGGGAGTGAAGTTGGACTTTAGGGCTTCCATTACAAGCTGCCCGTAAACATAAGGCAAGCTAGGAATGCAATGTCTTATGTACATGAAATCAGTGTGTTTTATTCATAATTACCATTCACACTGTCAAAGAGTCTTTAAAGTTAAAATCAGCTTCTCTCTGCAGCTTGTTCAGTTAAGCTTTGAAAATGAAAGATCGGACCTGATTGGTTGCCATGGGCAACTGCTCCAGAATTTTGCCTGCTCCAGTCTTGATCATTTTCACCTTGTATCTTCCCACGCTGCCAAACAGGTGACTTTTTACATGTTTGCCAGGTTCTCCTAAGCTATTGGAAAAGAAAAAAAAAAGTTTACTGCTCTCAATAGCAAAAGTTTAAATTTACACACATGAATGAGTCAGTGGCTCCTCCCTCTCCCTTATATATTACGTGAAAGGAAACAACTGATGTGCTCTCATTTAAAAACAAATAAACTTTTGTCTGCTCCGGTTTCCAAGATTTTGTCTGCTCCAGTTTCCCTTTGTGTGTTGTGCTGACCTGTAGTACGTTGTAGCGCACATGCGTTTCTGAACTGCGTTGAGGGCTGTAGCACACCAATGCACACAATGTTATGTACCATGTGTGTTACTGCAATGGCATGGTGTGACCAGGCCCCGCGAAATGTGTTTATAAAACAAATATTGTATGTAATATGTTAGTAAAAAAAACAAAAAGTACACAAATAGGCCTGTGTGTTCCTGACTCTGCAAGCATTTTCTGTTTTAACAGCTTTCTTGTGAGGGTACCTATAAACAAGGGCTTTTGGTTTCAAGTGGATCAATTAAACATGTCAGAGTGTTTTTTTCTGTTGCTATGGATTGGCAAATTAAAAGAGCTGAGCAGCGGTAATAAGTAGACAGCTTTCTACAAGATTGATCAAACTCTTGAATGATTTTGAATGATTATTTTTCTATACAGCATACATATCAACCGGAAGGTACTTGGACATAACAGATTTCATTTTGGCACCTTGTAAAAAGATGCCAAAGCATTTATTGCCATTAACATTTTTAGTGATAGTATTTTATTTAGTATTTTTGTATTTTTATGGCCATGATAATACTTACTTATAACAAAATAAAATTTACATCCATAATCCTATACATTTCATTTGAATTTTAAAGTTAGGGGCATCTTTATAAAGCAGCAGATTTTCACTAATCATTCAGTGGTTATCCAATGACTGCCCTTTAAAACGTACCAGGAAGATTCACTGCAGTGAATATTTGGTAAATGTCAGATATACAGTATATGACTCAAGCTTATGACTAAGCTAAGCTTAAAGTGAACCTGTGCCCAGATCATGCAAACTAAAATATTGACATATTCTGAACAAGCAGTAAAATACATTCATATGTGTATCTATAATCATTGTGAAGATAATAAAGTACAGCTAAAGGCTCCTGTGTTACAGTCTAAACAAGTACTGAATCCAGGTACTATGCGATGCCCAAGTCTCATAAAGTAAACCAAAATGTTCTTAACCTTTTATAAGTGAGCCAAACCCTCCTTCAGTTGTGTGTCACATGTTTCCCCTCCCAGACACTGCAGCTCACAGTGGGAAGGTTTCACCAAAAGAGGCAGTGCTGCTAATCCAGAAAACAGTGGGCAAGACTAAGTATGGTGTCAAAGATGACAAATTACAGGATTGGGAACCAGGAATTGTAAAAACTAACCCTTAAAGTGGGGCTACCCTGGCACTGCAAGAGTTAAGTGCTGGTTTTAGTCTAGAGGCTAAAGTAAAGAAGATATACTCACCTGATCCTCACCACTTGCCTGCTAGAGTGGTTCCTGCAGCCTCTTCTCCCCCAGGCTCTATCCATCTAAGGACCCCTGACATCATCATGTCTAATGAAGGTGAATTAGACATGAACACACCGAGAGACATTCCACTGCCGGAGTGGAGGCGAGAGAGGTGATTGCTGGCTGCAGCAGGACGTAGGATCAAGTGAGTTTATCTTTTTTATTCCAGACCCTAGAGAAAAAGAAGCAGTTAACCCTTGCAGACAGGGGAGGGGGTGGGCACAGCTTGCTCAGGCTCAAGAGAGGCAGCTGAGTGAAATCTGACAATATTATCAGGATCCTTCTTGACTGTAGCATGGATGTGTGCTGTCAGGATATAGCAGGCAGTAGCCCGCTAGATGCTGACTTTGGGTTAGCATATGTACTCCTGT